CACAACCCATTAAAACCTTCTATTAAGCCTACCAGAAAAGTGAGCTCTCAACTCATCCTTCAAATGATCTTACTAGTTTGATAAACCAATGATGGCTATTGATCTTGACGCTCATTTTCTTTGATTGTTAAAAATACAAATATATATAAACGAGGTACGTGAGATGAATGGGATTGAAGAATCGTAAACGATGGACATGAGTCGTATATAAAATGGTTTGAATGTAAAAGCATTCTTGAACCTACCCGAACCTCACTTTTTTGGCTTTTGTGAAAACATGAGATTACTAACCATCGCATACAGCTAAGAAGTTCATGCCATATCTCGGTTACTCAATGAGAAATTATACGATAAATAAAAGTTTTACGATATTTAAATGTGATTAGTTGAGGATAACTTAAAGCCAATCTCAAAAAATGACCTAGTGGCATAAAAAATCGATGCAAATATAGACACCGAGAGGTATCATATATGAAGATATGAAAAGACTACTCATCAAAATGACCTTTATCAAAAATAAGTTGAAAATTTGAAAAAAAACGTTTAGACACGAATAAGAACATCTTCACTTCAATATTCATATAACATCTATATAGCAGTCAAATGGCCCCAAGCAAAAGCAAGGCGTCATTCGTCATCGGGAATCAGATCAAAAGATAGAACAATGAAATAATCATATAGAATAGTGATGAAAAATAGTAAATGAGTGGCATTCATCCCTGCATAGGTTTTTTGTATCCATATAATACCGTATTTTGAAATAACTAAACAACGAGTTTCAAAGGAAATTTGCAAAGTTGAAAGGCGGCAATCAACTGCCCTCTTAGACATAAAATAGTTGAAGAAGAGTAAAAAGTGAACCGTATACTAAAATAAAAATAACATAAAACGATTAGAAGGAAGGAATAATATCTGGTAAGAATAGTAAAGAGTAAGAAAAACTATATGGCTTAGCTACCAATTCAAATCGAAATGACCATAATAAATGGCTGCCGTCTCAATGTGAGAATAAGCTGGCAGTAGTGTAATCCTTGGCGTCTGATGCAGAGACTAGACGCACTGGGGCGTACTGGTTTCCACGACGAATGAAGAAAACAAAAGCAGCAACGAGGCCTACCAAAACTAGGGCACCAACAATACACATGAAGTACACGAAAATATGCACGCTGAAAGATGAGAAGAGTCGATCGACAGGGGAAGTGAACTCGGAGACGGCACGGGAACGACAGGCCTTTTCGGAATCCTGGCAAAGAAGGTCGTGAAGGGGGAAACTATCAATAGCACGTCGAAATTATACAATAAAACAAAAACGAATAGTCGGAATACATATAAATTAAGTATATCATATGAGCTATAAAAGCCCCGAAGATGGAAACTGTTGCCTCGCATGATAGCATGAAGTATCGCAGTTTTAGATCCTTAATAAAGGTCGCATCATCTAAATGAAAACAGATATGTAACCTAGCTCCTAAAAAAGTTCACCTAAAAATGTACCTTCTGTCTCATCTAGACACAGAACTATTAAATGTTCCATTATATTACGCAATGGTAGAATACCATATATATAACCATACAAAGCACATTTCGTGTTAGGGACATTCTGATCAATAAGTGGATCATCTTAGCAGTTTCCAGCTTACAGCTGAGAATATAGGAAACTTATTTCCATCCGTAGATTTAGATTATGCCTTATCAAGAAGCGAGAAAACGATGAAGAATACTATATGATAGAGCGGTCGGTTAAGAAATTGAGACAGGGCCGTATAACTAATCAGTGGGGCCTGGTTGAG